AGTAGGGATGTTCACGGAAGGAGAAGTTGATTTTGTCGGGTTGGTGTAGCATTGCTTCCGAAGGTGTTCGATAAAGCCTATTCGCGTGCTGAGTGTGCGTTGGCAGTGTGGACATTGACGTTGCGGATCAGAGGCGCTTGTGACTCGCGAGCCGTCAGTTTGACTTTGGCAGCGTCCATCCGATTTGCTTCGCATATTGCTACGACAGTCTCCACTGCTCTCCTTCAGGCCGGTCCGTTCCAGACCTTCCTTGTCTACAATCCTGTTCTGTCATCTCAGCCTCAGCATTCTGCGGAGGCAGCTTAGATGGAAGTGATTTAGCTTCCTGGCATAGCTGGAGTAGACGGTCCAGGTCTTCGCACCGTACAGAAGTGTCATCAAGACGACGGCCTTGTGCATCTCCAGTTTTGTGTTCAGTTGAAGGCCGTAGCGAGTCTACACAAAGACTTGCAACCGTTCGAAGGCCTGACCAGCTTTGGAGATCCGATGGACAGCCTCGTTGATTTTTGTGCTGCGCGAGTGTGCTTCCTAGATAAGTTATGTCGTCCACAGTTCCAAGTTGGCTTCCATTGACATTTATTCAAAGGCAGTTGTATTCCGTGTTGCGTGACGGTCAGCACATGACCGCCGTCTTGTCCGTGTTGGTTGTTAGTCCGAAGTTGACGCACCTGGTGACAAAGAGGTCCAGAATTTCATGCAAAGGGTGTGGGCGGCTAGGATCTCAGATGCGTGAGAGTGCCATAGACGCCACTTGAAAAGGAGTCATTGTAGCCCGAGTCTCAGTCGGCCACTCAGCCACCCCCATGCACGCAGGGCTGATTGCGAGGTTCCGACTATACCGTCAGTCGCCAATCTCCCTATTCACGACTTTTGACGCATCCTGGTAGACTCAAGTGTGCCAGGTTTATTATAGTGAGGGATGCACTGAGGCGCCGTGGAGATGAGGTCTTCAGTCGTTCTCAATCTCTCTTCCCTCCCCTTGCACCAGTTGGCCGTCTGGTCCTGTCTAACAGCTGGTGATGGAGTCGGGAGCAGTGATTGAAAGAGCTGCGAGACTCCGTCTATGTGTCCCACACACGACATTGTCTGACACCTGGTTGCTCCAAAGAGTACTTCCCACTGGCATGAGAGGTGCTTGTTCTGTGCCTGTGGTGAATGGTGTGGAGCGTTTTTGCGTGTGGCGTATAGAATTGTTAGGAGATGTGTTGTGATTGAATTTGAGTTGCGGTGTTTTACCACAGATTTCCATGGATTCGCGTATGGTCGAGTCGACCCATCCGATGACTGAATGATCGTAGGCAGCGTGGGAAGTTGAGGCGGGAGCTGAGTGTACACTATTGCCCCTAACCCTGGTTCGCCACCCTCAGTGCCGCGGATTCAAGCCTACTAATCCGAGGTCGGCATCCCCTCCCAGCCGCTCATCTGCGCTGAAATGGACAATAATCTTTACACTCACCACGTACTGCCTTTGAGGGATGCAGCTTTCGTAGCATTCACAAGAGTTAGTAATTGTGGCGGTTTTTACAGCATTATATGGGCTAATATACCGCCGCTGAGAAACAAGGGTGTTGCATTCATGTATTCTCCCTTTCGGCCTCACATGTTGTTACAAACTTCATCGATATTCGGAAATTTGTTCCACTGCTTGTTTGGGTGTACTTGTTGGGAGAGAGTATCCAAGCTGTGACAGGTGTACGAAATCCTTTTTGCATTCCGAACCTCAGAAGTCGATTTGAAGGCTCTGTGTACATTTTTGTGAGGAAAAGTTCATTCGAGGGCAAGATATCAGGGTACGGGGACTTGGGGGTTTGGTAAACTATAGCTTTGCCTGAGCACGAAGGTATGGGCGTTCAACTGCGAATCCTCTCCCAACACGCCGTTAGTGTCGAGTTTGATGCCAAGATCATGATGATCGTGGAGAACTCTCTCGATTTCTCCAGACACAGTAAAAAATATTAGTTTGTTTTCTAGCATTGGAGGTCGCACCACAGCAAATTTATAAGAACCAACACGTTTCCACATTATTAGAGTTAGTCAGGCTTCAGGCCGGCCCATGGGTAGACCGACAGTATTGCAGTACATGACAGGTAGATGGCTTGTCGCCAGTGACGTAAAGCCGACAGTGAGTAACCAATCTCATGAAGTATTGGCCGAAATTCTGAAATACGTTTCCGATTAGGAAGGATTATTTAGATGGGGTTGTTATATTGATTACGATGCGGCATAATCCTATAATATTTCGGACCCGCCAGGATGTCAGCTTTTGAATACACTTCTTTTCGGTTTAATGTGGGGACCGCACTCAGAAGAAAAGTCTACGTAAGCAGCATGAATTTTTCACATTTATTTTCCATGGTCTTATAAAATCAAGCACATTTTATAGAAAACATGCACAAAAATATGTTTTTTTTACTCATTTACTAAGGAATCACGTTATCTTCATATTTGATATCCGAAGAAAGGGTATATTTAGGTTTTGAAAGAGTTTGCCAATTACCGAATAATTTTAAGCCTAAACAGCCGTTACATTAGCGTTCAGCGACTCCAGTCTACAAGGTGCCTGCTTTCCGCATAAGAAAATCATATATTCCTCTATGCCTTTGAGAGGATACTATATGGAGTTCATAAAATTTTGCAATGAATGCGGACTTTGTTGTCCATTTCATGAGGAGCATTGGTGAACGGACAGGTGTTGTTTGAATAGACATTACACGGTCTTAGAAAATCTCAAAATTAGAAAATTTCTTACAAACGAAAGATATCCATTCTTAGAGTACATGTAAAGACAACGTGATTCTCTGCCAAACAAGTAGAAGGAAGCATATTTTTGTGCATGTTTTCTATAAAAGATGTTTCGACTTATAAGACAATCAAAAGTAAGCAGTCGCTCTTTACGATGTGCGGTTTCTACAGGTCGAAAAGAAGTGCACTCAAAAGCAGACATCCTGGCGGGCCCGAAATATTGTATGATTATCCCACAAGATAATAGTCGATCGTCGTTGCAGACGATGTCCACCGTGTGCTCCTTAACAAGGTAAAGCGGGCACGGTGACTTGCGCGTGACTTAGTTTAAACTGAATGTAGACTTGTGCAGAATCTACCATCCTCCCCCACCTAGACCCTGTGTTAAGACATAATCAGGAAGACCGGAGGCGGGGGAGGGCGCAGGTGGATGGTATGATCGAGCCCACACCTTGGCGTTCCACTCCACACCCCGTGGTCCACACAGCAAATGACCAGGATTTTGACCAACAACAAAGAGACCTGGCGCAGCCGAAGCCGTGCCTCGGCGTGCCGTCACACCTGACTCGGACCCCACAGAGCCGGAGTGCCATAAAGGAGTCATTACAGCCTGATTCTTAGACAATCAGTTGGCCGTTCCACAAACACACAACACTCGGCCGACTGCGAGGCCAAAGTTAACCCGTCAGTTAGCAACCTTCCAAGCCACGGCTTTTAGCGCACCGTGATAACTTCAAGCGCGTCGGATTGTTTATGGTGAGGAAAGTGCGCTGAGTCGTCGACATCACTCTATCTTCCCATTCCCAGGCCCCAACCATTGTTCCAGCTGGTCAGTTGACAGGTGCGGGGAATGGGCGCGGTGGCTAGCATAGCTATTGACTTTGTCTGCGCGTGCCAAATGCACGATCTGGCTCCGTAGACACAAGCCCCAGGATTTCACCCAACGAGGGTTGAGCGGCGTACATCTCACATGCGTGAGTGTGCCGTAGGTCACGTTAAAAAGCAGCCGCTTCAGCCTGGCTTTCAGCCCACCAGTCTGCCACTCCACACACACGCACGCACGCACAACTGGGCAGACTGCGGGGACTGAGTTGGAACGTTAGTCGGCAGCCTTCCGAGCCACGGTGCTTGACGCACCGTGATAATCTCGGACTCGGATCGCACATATAGGAGAGGAGCCGCATGGAGACGGAGCCGAGAAGCAAACTTCCCACTGGCGTGGGAGGTGATAGTTGAATGCTTTTGGTGGATGATGATTTTTTTTGGTGTAGGTCGGGGAAGGTAGGATGGTGTGGTGCAACTGGCTGTTGTCCACCGCAGATGTTCGTGAATGCGCATGTAGCCTAATGGGCTCATGCAGTGGGTGAATGTGCGGCTGCAGTGAGGGCAGTTGAGGCGGATGCGTCTGGTATATGTTGGTGCCCCGGGCACTGATTCGCCAGTCTCTATGCGACTAATTTGCTAGTGACCGACTAGGCCGATGTGTAAGGTTAATGTACGGGGACTGTGGACAGGAAAAATCGGCGGTGCCACTGTCGGTTTCGGAGATGGCGGCAGTGGTGGGGCCGTTAATGGTGGACACGCCCCGCGACGAGGTGTGCGTTGGGTTAGGCATGGTTGGTGTGCAGGACGTACTGATGGTGGTGGGCGTGCTGGGCGACGGAGTGTGGATCGAGCTAGGCATGGTGGATGTGCAAGTGGTAGATGTGTCGAGACTGCGGTCAATTCCGTTCTCGTGGATACGCATGTGACCGAACAGGCCTATGCTGCAGTGTGAACAGTGAAGGCGAATGTGACGAGTGTAAGTTGGTGCTCCAGGCACTGGCCCGCCAGCCTCTGTGCGATGGATTCGCAAGTGACCGACCAGGCCGATGTGTGAGACGAAGGTGCGGTCGCAATGAAGACATGTATAGATTGAGTCCACATCGCTGGCGTTGTCGGTGTGGCATTGATGCTTTTTGCTGTGTCAGAATAGTGTACAGTGGTGGTGGGTGCAGGAGCCGCCGTATCGGATGTTGAGGCAATGGTTCGGCCGTGCGGTCAGTGTTAGTTCGGCGTGAGGAATGAGGCAGAGTTGGACAGGAAGACAGCAGCCGGCGTGGTCCGGGTGTTGCAGTTGGTACGAAGATGTCCACTGAGCAATTGGTGCCCGAAACGTCTGCTGGTATCATGGGCAAGTCGGGAGCTGGTGATTGTAGGCGTTGCCAGGCGGGGGTGGTTAGAATTTACGAGCTCCGCGTTTGGCTTAGGCGGCTGTGATGCAGTTGGCCCCTTCTCCGGGGCGGTCGCACTTGGATGATTTCTTCCCAGTTGGTTGGGTTGATTTGCAAGCGCCTCACGGAAGTTTTCAGGGCACTCTTGTAGCGCCGGACTTAGCCTCCTTGTCAGCGGGATTCCTTGGTGACATCTCCATAGAAGAACTATTTGGGTTGCCGCTCGTCGTCCATCCGCACGAGGTGGCCGCTCCAGCGCAGTTGCAGTTGCTTCAGCAGGACGGAGCTGCTGAGGATTCCCGTCAGCTCCAGTACGTTTGTGTCCGTGATCCGCTCTTGCCATCTCAACTTCAGTATCCGTCGAACACAACTGAGGTGGATGCGATTGAGGCTTCGCGCCTGCTTCTTGTACACCGTCCAGGTCTCCGCTCCATACATCGGCCCTTGCAGGATGACCGTCTTGTACACCTTCAGTTTGGTGTTGAGATGGAGACCATGTCGATCCCAGACGGTGCTTTGCAAGTGACCGAAGGTTTGGCTGGCTTTGGGAGTTCGGAGGGTCACTCCAGCGTCGATTTGGGTGTTACGAAGAGAGTGCTGCCCAGGTATGTTTAATTGTCCACGACTTGCAGTTTGGCGCCGTTCGCGTTAATTTGGGGGTGCGTTGTAGGCAGCGTCGGATGGCGGTTGATGCAGGACCACCGTCTTCTCCGTATTGATTATCAGGCCGAAGTTGTCGCAGGCGGCGGCGAAGAGATCCATGCATCTTTGCATGTCCCCTTCAGAGGTGGCGTTGAGAGCGCAGTCGTCGGCGAAGAGAAGTTCATAGACGATAGTTGTGGATACACGTGACAGGAAGTACATCCGCGGGCGGTTGGTGAGTTGGCCGTCTGTCCTGTGGGCGATGCGGATCCCGGGGCGTTCGTTGTGGTAGGCGTCCATTAGCATGGCAGAGAACATGAGACTGAAGAGGGTAGGCGCGAGGACGCAGCCCTGCTTCATTCCGTCGGTCACTGCGAGTGCCTCTGAGACAGTTCCATTGTCCGGGACGTGCGCCATCATGCCATCGTGGAGTCGACGCATCATCAGAGCAGATCGCTTGAGACAGCCGAATTTATGCATGTTTTTCCACAGTCCTTCATGATTCACTATCTCGAAGGCTTTCGTCAGACCCACGAAGGTAGAGTACAGGTGGATCCGCATCTCCTGACAATTCTCCTATAGTTGGCGGGCGCCGAAGACCATGTCGGTGGTTCCACGATGACGGCGGAAGCCGCACTAGCATTCTGGTTGGAGACCCTGTTCCAGATGATTGTTGCGGTGGTTGACAAGGATGCGAGCGAAGATCAGTCCGGCGATGTTGAGGAGGGAACCGCCTCTGTGGTTGTCACAGAGTTGGCGGTTCCCTTTCCGCTTGCAGCGATGAATTATTGGGACCTCCCTGAAATTATGTTGGACTTCTTGACGCCACAGCTCCTGGAAGAGCACAGTGAGTTGAGCCATAAGTTTGGGGTCACCGTGCTTGCAGATCTCAGCAGGGATCGCGTCCGATCCGGGCGCTTTCCTACTGGGGAGCTGCTGCACGGGTTTGGTGGTTTCATGGAGAGGGGGCGGGAAATCGAGGTCCGCGTTGGTCTCTACTTGCGGCAGACGGGCGATGGCGGCGTCAGAGATGGTGGAGGGGCGGTTGAGGATGCCCCGGAAGTGCTCGGCCCATCGCTGTAGAATTTGGGTCAACTCAGTGAGGAGGGTACGGCCGTCGGCGCTAAGAGGAGCAGTGCCTTTGACTAGCGGACCGTAGACAGCTTTGATCGCGGAGAAGATGTTCTTCCATTCGTCGCGGTCGCGTGTCCTTGGATCTCCTCGGCCTTGAGAGCCGTCCAGGCGTCCTGCATCTCACGCGGTCGCTGTTGTACAAGGCGACGACTGCGGTAGAAAGCATCTCTGTTGTCGTTGGTGAGGTGGTCGATGTAGGCTTTGTGCAGGCAGTTCTTCTCAGCAAGCAGGTCGCTGATGGCGGCATCGTTGTCATCGAACCAGTCCTGGTGTTGGCGACGTGTGCGACCGAGGACAGCCAGGGCTGTGGACTAAGCTGTGTCCCTCAGTTGACACCATCTGTCCTCCACAGAAGCGTTCTCGTCAGCGGTAGCGGCGGCGACTAGAGAGTTGGAAGATGTCAGTTTCGTGACCGAGAGTGCGTCGACGTGGTCTTTTCTCGCATCGGGAGGCGGAAGAAGGTGTTGGTCAAGATGAGGCGGTGTTCTGCGCAGGTTCGTAGGAGTAGGCCATTTTCATTGAAGTCGTCGCGACCATGGGGACCCAGCACTCCTCTCCAGGCGGCATGGTCTGTGCCGACGCGGGCGTTGAAGTCACGAAGGACAGTCAACTTATCCGCCTTCGGCACAGACGCCAGGAGGGCGTGCGGGTCCTCTTAGAATTTGCTCCTTGCAACGTCAGGGTTGGTTATGAGGGGAGTGTAGATGCTGACGATGGTGACGAATTTGCCTCCTCGGAAAGGCAAGCGGAGGCTCATCAGGCGATCGTTGATTCCCTGTGGCAGACAGGGCAGTCGATCCACGATGTCGTTCCGGGTGGCAAAGGCGACGCCCACGTCCTGTCGCTCTGGTTTAGGGCGACAGTTCCAGATGAAGGTGTAGACGGCACCCACATCCTCCATTTGGCCTTGTTGGGAGAAGTGAGTCTTGCTGAGTACAGTGATGTCCGCCTTGTAGCGCGTCAGTGTCCGAGCCACCAGCGCCGTCCTCCGTTCCGGTCGGTTCCTCCTCGGATTGTCTAATAGGTAACAAGCATTCCAGACTGCTAAAGTGAGCGAACTCATCCTACCAGTCTATCGAGTGGTACAATGGCGGCGAAGGAGGAGGAAGAGGGCATATGGTTTCTGATTTGATAGTTGCGACCGTGTTTTGCATAAGCCGGACACGGTCAGCGCGCGGAAAACGTGAATTTCACTATTTATCTAGGACACCTTTTCTAGCCCCTTCCCCCTCGTGGGAGTGAGCAGTGCTCTCTCTAAATAGGGCTGCTCAAACATCCCAGACGGCTGCCGGACTCTGCTGCGGGCCGTGACTTTTGTTTAGTGAAAGAACGACCTGAGTTATTCTGGGCCGCCTACGGGATCACTGTCGCTCTCACCGTAGGACTTTGAAGAAGGAGAGATGGGGTAAGGGTTGAGCAAAAGGAAGCAAAGTTTTCCGTCCCTCTAAGCTGATTGATTGCTGAAATATAAACGGTGAGCAAACAAATTTAACAGAACGGCAGTTAGCTTACAGCAAGGATAAAGACAGACAAGATGCAAGCAAGTAAGAACAGGCAAAAGCAAACACCCCAGACTGATGTACGCTTACCTCGGGAGGAACTTACCTTGCGGCCTGCTACGGTGTTGCAGGCGGAGCCTCATCACGGAGATGCCGAGGCTGTGATTCATCTAGCCAGCAGAGCCGAGTTCCCGTGTGCGGAAACGCACACACGGATTCTCTCACCTGGTTTAGCCCGCCGACCGAGGCGGTTACCGGGGTATGGCCGCTAGGCAGAGCCTAGCTTTGGGGAGCCACATGTGAGAGTTGGGTGCCAGTTAGTGGACGTCGGGCGTAGTCTACATCTCCAAACAAGTTAGCGACCTACTACGACCGTCACATGGACCCACGACTGGACGTCCCTACACCCCTGCCGCATGATAATTAATATAACAACCCCACTAAGTTATCCATCCTAATCGAAAACGCATTCCAGAATTTCGTCCAACATTTCATGAAATCGGCCACTCACTGTATTTTTAGTAGACTGAGACGTTTCAGGGAAACAACTTCTCCCTAAATACACTGCCGCATTTCATCGATCTGAAAAGTTTTTGACCAAACGCAAATATTAGCCCTCTCCAGATGGCTCCGATACTCTTTACAGCCAAAGACATCTTGCTATAATTCCGGTCTCAACCGTTTTTTTTTAAATTCTTGGCGATGTTGAGCTGCCAAGTTACTCTTGCAACCTCAAATAGCTAGCCTGAAAAACCGGGTTCGCAAAAATCTGCTGTAACGTTTTGCAGTAGTTCTACCTATCTGGTCTCCGACACTCGCTTTGGATTTTTTATGCGTTTGCTAGCTCAAACTGTATGCAGGAAGGGAGAGGACCGATAACTTGGTAGAACATGCGACTATTGGGCACAAGGAGTGCAGTATTTATAGGACTCAGTTACCACGAGGCCACATGCGTACTATAACTAGCAGCTCTCGTGTCCGTCGCTCAGGGTCGTACCTGATGTGATGGTGGCTTGTCAGTCCGCATTCAAGTCCTTAATAGTCGCACTTTCGCCACTGTTACTGATTCTTGGTGGGATAATGACTCGGCAATCCGGCTCGCTGTCACTCGAATTATTGATCACCCGCGCCCTGCCCGCG